AAATAAGGCTAGTTAACATATCCATTACTTCGCATAGGTGCCATTTGTGTTTGTGTGTGGGGTGAGAACATTTAAGATTTACTCTCTTGGCAACTTTCAGTATTGTTAACTACAGTCACCATGGTGTACATTAGGTCTCTCAAAACTTATTCATCCTATATCTAGAAGTTTGTACCCTTTGACCACCATCACATGTTCCCCCATACCCCTGGCTCCTGGCAACCAACAATCTTCTCTGTTTCTATGAGATTTATTTTTTAAGATTCCACATATAAGTTAGGTCATAAGTATTTGTGTTTTTCTGTCTTATTTCACTCAGCATAATATCCTTCAGGTATTCATCCATGTTGTTACAAATGGCAGGATTTCTTTCTTTTATAAGGCCAAATAGTTCATTGTGTGTGTGTGCAAACATATACATATATATACACACATACACACATATATGTATGTCATATTTTCTTTATTCATTCAACCTTCAATGAATACTCAGACTATTTCTATGTCTTGACTATTGTGAGATATGAACACGGGGATGAAGATGCCTTTTTGCAATAGTGATTTCATTTCCTTTAGATATATACTCGGTACTGGGGATTTTGGAGATGGTTGCTCTATTTTTGCTTTTCTGAGGAATGTGTACATTGTTTTCCATAGTGGCTGTACCAGTTTACATTCCTATGTAACATGCAACAGTGCAAAAGAATTCCCTTTTCTTCACATCTCCTTTGTCTTTTCAATAATAGCCATTCTTTTAAAGTTTTAGGTTCACAGCAAAATTGAGTGGAAAGTATAGAGAATTCCCATATATACCCTATCCCCCACTGCACACAACTTCTCCCACTACTGACATCCTGCACCATAGTGGTACATTTGTTACAATCAGTGAATCTACATTAACACACCATTTTTACCCAAATTCCATGTTACATTAGGATTCACTCTTGGCATTGTACATTCTACAGATTTTGGCAAATGTATAACAACATGTATACGCCACTGTAGTATCATATAGAATAGTTCCACTGCCCTAAAAGTTTCCTGTGTTTTATCTATTTATTCCTCCCTCCTCAATTCATGCTGACAACCAAAGATCTTTTTATTGTCTTCATAGTTTTGTCTTTTTTGTAATGTCATATAGTTGGAATCATATAGTATGCAGCCTTTTCAGATTGGCTTCTTTCACTTAGTAATATGCATTTAAGTTTCCTTCATGTTCTTTCATAGTTTAATAGCTCATTTCCTCTTAGTTCTGAACAATATTTCATTGTTTGGACATTCCACAGTTTATTTGACTATTCACCTACTGAATGGTATCTTGGTCACTTCCAAGTTTTAGCAATTGTGACTAAGGTTGCTATAAACATCCATCTGCAGGTCTTTTCATGGACATAAGTTTTCCATTTATTTGCATAAATAACAGGGAGCACCACTGCTGGATTGTATAGCAAGAGTATGTTTAGTTTTGTAAGAAATTGCCAAGCTGTCCTTCAAAGTGGCTATACCATGTTGCATTCCTGTCAGCAATGAATGAGAATTCCTGTTGTTCCACATATTCACCAGCATTTGGTGTTGTCAGTGTTTTGAATTTTTGTCATTCTAATAAGTGTGTAGTCACCAGTCAGGATGGCTGCTATCCAAAAGTCTACAAGCAATAACTGCTGGAGAGGGTGTGGAGAAAAGGGAACCCTCTTACACTGTTGGTGGGAATGCAAATTAGTACAGCCACTATGGAAAACAGTGTGGAGATTTCTTAAAAAGCTGGAAATAGAACTGCCATATGACCCAGCAATCCCACTTCTGGGCATACACACCGAGGAAACCAGATCTGAAAGAGACACGTGTACCCCAATGTTCATCGCAGCACTGTTTATAATAGCCAGGACATGGAAGCAACCTAGATGCCCATCAGCAGATGAATGGATGAGGAAGCTGTGGTACATATACACCATGGAATATTACTCAGCCATTAAAAAGAATTCATTTGAATCAGTTCTAATGAGATGGATGAAACTGGAGCCCATTATACAGAGCGAAGTAAGCCAGAAAGATAAAGACCATTACAGTATACTAACACATATATATGGAATTTAGAAAGATGGTAACGATAACCCTATGTGCAAAACAGAAAAAGAGACTCCGATGTATAGAACAGACTTGTGGACTCTGGGAGAAGGCGAGGGTGGGATGTTTCAAGAGCACAGCATTGAAACACGTATATTATCTAGGGTGAAACAGTTCACCAGCCCAGGTTGGGTGCATGAGACAAGTGCTCGGGCCTGGTGCACTGGGAAGACCCAGAGGGATAGGGCGGAGAGGGAGGTGGGAGGGGGGACCGGGATGGGGAATACATGTAAAAAAAAAAAAAAAAAAAAAGATACACTATGGTTGTGATAAGAAAAAAAAATAAATTAATTAAATTAAAAAAAAAATAAGTGTGTAGTGGTATCTCATTGTTTAAATTTGTAAGTCTCTAATGACATAGACAGATATAGCTATATAAAGGGAATCTATCTGTGTTCCTAGAATGAAGAAACTGATTTTCAGTAGACAGCTAGCATTCTGACATACTTTTTAAATAAAAGGCACTAAAGGTATGAATTTCACTCTGAGCACTACTTTAGTAATTTAGATTCTGTTATGAGGTATTCTAAGTATCATTTTCTAGATATTTCATATTGCTGCTGCTGTTGTTTAGTCGCTAAGACAAGTCCAACTCTTTTGCAACTCAATGAACTGTAGCCTGCCAGGCTCCTCTATCCATGGAATTTTCCAGGCAAGAATACTGGAGTGGGGTTGCCATTTCCTTCTCCAGGGGATCTTCCCAACACAGGGATCAAATCCAAGTCTCCTGCATTGGCAGGCAGTCTTTACCACTGAGCCAGCAGGGAAGCCAAGATATTCATTCCATAGTTACTTTTGTTTTTTAAAATGTCCAAGTCGTAAAGGATTCTGTTTCCTAATTCCATTATTAATTTCTAGTTTTATTGCATTGTGAAGCATTGTGGTCAGATAATGCTGTTTTACTTTTATGTTTTAGAATTTATTCAGGTTTTTTTTTTATTCAGGTTTTTCTTGTGATCAAATCTGTAAATGTTCAAAGGGCACGTGAAAAGAAAATTAGTTTTCTATTATCAGGCTATAAAGTATATTTTCAGGCTATCTGGTATATTTTTATTAAATTTTCCATATTGAGTAAGTAATTTAGGTATTTTCTCTTTCTTTTTATTGTTTTCATTCTTCTAAATGCCTGCCATAGATTGAGATAGGTGAATTAAATTTTATATGTTTATATTCTTTCTTATAATTCCCATAGTTTGATATAAACATTCATCAAAGATATCATGAATATACACATAAAATGACAGCCCAATAATTTTTAAATATTAGGAAACCAAATTCACCATTTTTTAAAATAATAATACACCATGACCAAATGGATTATTCCAGAAATCCAGTGATGACTTAATTTTAGGAAATCTATTATTATTATAATTTAATATATTAATACTTCAAAAGAGAAAAACCATGTGATGATCTCTGCTGCTACTGCTGCTGCTGCTAAGTCACTTCAGTCGTGTCCGACTCTGTGCAACCCCACAGACGGCAGCCCACCAGGCTCCCCCGTCCCTGGGATTCTCCAGGCAAGAACACTGGAGTGGGTTGCCATTTCCTTCTCCAATGAATGAAAGTGAAAAGTGAAAGTGAAGTCGCTCAGTCATGCCCGACTCTTAGCGACCCCATGGACTGCAGCCTACCAGGCTCCTCTGTCCATGGGATTTTCCAGGCAAGAGTACTGGAGTGGGCTGCTATTGCCTTCTCCACTGATGATCTCTAGAGAAGCTTAAAAGGCATGTAATTTGGGACTTCCCTGATGGCACAGTGGATTAGACTCCACCTGCCTATGTAGCAGACACAAGTTCAATACCTGGTCCGGGAAGATTCCAAATGCCACAGAGCAGTTAAGCCTGTGCCCCACAGCTACTGAGCCTGAGCTCTAGAGCCCATGGGCAGCAACTATTGAGCCTGAGTGCTGCAAGTACTGAAGCCCATGCACCCTAAAGCCCGCATACTGCAATTACTAAGCCTGTGTGTTGCAACAACTGAAACCTGCACACCTATAGCCTGTGCTCCGCATCAAGAGAAGCTACTGAAACAAGAGCCTGTGTACTGTAACAAAGAGTAGCCTCCGCTAATCACAACTAGAGAAAGCCCGTGCAAAGCAATAAAGATCCAGTGTAGCCAAAAATAAATAAATTAATTAATAAAAAATAAAAGGCATGAAATTCAACTCAGTATGTATAGATTTTTTAAAAATTCTAACTAAAACAGGGATAGATGGACACAATATAATAAAATCTATCTAATAATACCATCCTTAATTAGGAAACCACAGCAAGCTAATATATAGCTTCAAATGGTTTACTACTACACAGATTATTTCATTACAAAATGCTAACGGTATCTGATATTGTGGTTTGGAAGATTCTGTATCCTACATTTAGTCAAAGTCAAAATTTGTTTACATCAGATATCAAATCCAGTGACCTAAGAGCAATAAAGTCATATTGAACAATGATGGTCCTATTTTTATACTCAATACTACAATGTAAATCAAGATAAAATATATTCTTCGGACTTCCCCTGGTGGTCCAGTGGCTAAGACTCTTTGCTTCCAATGCACGGGGCTCAGGTTTGATCTCTTGCCAGGGAACTAGATCGCATATGCCACAACTGAAGATCCTGCATGCTGCAACTAAGACTTGGCACAACCAAGTAAATAAATAAATATTTAAAAAAAAATTCTTACTCTAAGTAATGTGTCAAAGATTTAAAATACAAAATAGAAACATAGAGTGGGGAAAAGCTAGTTCTTAAAGGATCATTTGGCTCGTTATCAAGTAATTCAGTGGCACAAATTTCTGTTGATAAAAGACTAGGTTATTCAGATGTGAAACCCCCTTTATAACCATGTTACCATACTCCCAGTCCTACTGTACCTGTTGTTTTCAGGAGATTCCAGACGTTTCTGCATTTACATATCATATCACGTGCACGATTTAGTAAGCAGGTCTGTTTGGTAAGAAAGTAAAGAGAAAATTAGTCTCAACCGAACAAAACTTTAAGCAAATAAAAATCATATCATTAAAAGCAGTAAAAAATTAAACTAGAAAAATGGAAGTATAAACTGAATATTTTTGGATTTATATATAAATATTAGCCTCTATTTTTTTTTCTTTCCTTTTCTCCCCCTAGTTTTATTGAGGTGCAATTGACATAACAGCACTGTTTAAGATGCATAGCATAATCACTTAACTTACAGGAAACTGAAGATTAAACAGAAAATCTTGAGTATTATCAATTTTTTAAAATAATCTAGGACAGAAGAAAATTGCTTCCAGAATGGTGATATGAGGAGATCTATAGATCCTCTTCCTAGCAAAAGTACCACAACTGGTGAAAATGATAAAACATGATCATGTAAAGTCTCAGAAAACTGCCCTAACGGCACATATTAATAGCCAATGGGGAAACATCTATTCTGGAAATCTACTAAAGTCTCAGTAAGAACAGTGAGTACCTGTAGCAGTTGAGCCATGATCTGGCCAACTCTGTTCCCCAGTTCAGTATGATGTAAGTGCACTTTAGGTGGGTATAACCAAGAAGATAGGGCTCACTATATCCTCAGCTTCCAGGCTAGGGATGACCATAAGGGACATGTTGCCAGGACTTCTCATTCCCCTCCCCAAGATCTGTATTGCATGAATTCTATTATGTGCTTTGCTTAGTTGCTCAATCATGTGTGACTCTTTGCGACCCTATGGACTGTAGCCTGCCAGGCTCCTCTGTTATGGGGACTCTCCAGGCAAGAATACTAGAATGAGTAGCCTATCCCTTCTCCAGGGGAACTTTCTGACCCAGGAATTGAACCAGGGTCTCCTGCACTACAGTCAGATTCTTTACCAGCTGAGCTACCAGGGAAGCCTGAGTTCTATCATAAACAAGCACAATTAAGAAGCCTGGCACTCTCTTCTTCTACCCAGTCCCCCCAAGCACTGCAAGTTGAAAATACTGTGTCACAATTGCCCTCACCTCAGCTTCCGTATAAGAGTTTCCATGCTGGAAGAGGCAAGCCAAGAATGTTAGGGACTACTATTGCTAGACCCTGACTTACAGAGCTGTATTGTCACTCTGATACAAATGGGTCATGGTCCCTGCCTCTAGCTCCAAAGTAGTGTATAGTTTCTGCTCAGGAGGAGAGGAAAGTCAGTAGAAGAGTGAGCTCTGTAGTCACCCTAAGGAGACTGACATTTATTGAAATAGAACTTGGGGAAGTTCAAGTCTAAAGGCACTATAAAAAAAAGTGAAGATTTTGGTGTGGGCAATTAAGAGGAAGCTGGTAACTCAGTGATAATCACAAGCTAAACAGTAGAATACAAGTTTACAGAGAGAACTAAGGGGAAAAGAAAGCTAAGATTACTTACCCCTTCAAAGGGGCCTTACGTTAATTGGATCAGACTGTGGAGCAATTTATACCAGAGTATTTTCAAATGTGCGTGTGCACGTGCGTGCACACACGCACACACACAATCACCTAGTAATTCATCAACACTTACTTACACCTGTGTATGATACCAATAGAAGACCACTCAGAAGCTTAACAGAGTGATCATGGAAAGAGATACTCAAAAATAACCCTGCTAAAACTACTTTCATTCCTTTCCAGGGGAGGGGTCATGGTGACTGCAAAGGCAAAGACTGTGATCTCTGAGGAATAACATTAGAAGCTCTATACCACTATACAGCTGCAGAAGTAAGACTGCACTGAACTAGCCCAAACAAGTCATTAATCAAACAAACAAGCACATATTAACAAGTCCCAGAGAGGGAGAATCAATACCCAAAGATGTTTCAAAATACTATGCAAAATGTTCAATTTTCAACAAAGAATTATAAAATATGAAAAGAAACAAGAAAGTATGACCCATACACAGGAATAAAGTAGGCAAGAGGAACTGACTTTTGAAAGGTCCAATATTGGAACTTAGCAGACACAGGTTTCAAAGCAGTTGTTTCAAATATGTTAAAACAATTAGACACTTACAAAAGCAAGGCAAGATGACAATGTCAGGAAATATAGAATATTGATTAAAAAGGCAGTGGGATAACATATTCAATGTGATGAAAGAAAATAGGCAACCGAGATTCTAACACCCAGCAAAATTATCTCTCAGAACTGAAAGCAAAATAAAGAAATTTCCAGATTAAAAAAAGTTGCATCTTTTTGCTAGCAGAACCATTTATAAAAATGCTAAGAGAAGTTCTTCAGGCTGAAAGCAAGTGACACCGATAGCAATTTGAATACAAATGAAAAAACAAAGTGCACTGATAATATATTTCCTCTTTCTTTTCTTATTTTAAAATACTGTGTAAAACTATGTGTAGTTTATTTTTATACCTAAAAGATATACATAGACCATTTCATCAACCCAAGAAGAAAATATATTCTTTCCCAAGCACACATGGTACTTTATCCAGGACAGACCATATGTCAGACCACAACATAAACTTCAAATACATTTAAAATAACTTGAAGTCAGACAAAGTATGTACTCTGTCTACAGTGGAACAAGATTAGTTCTACAGGAATTAAGGCCTCTATCCAGGTGGAGGATGATAACCTTAGGCTGAGGACAAGCATGTGAACCCCAGACTGGTTGGAATCAGAAGGCTGATATCAGACTGAGATGATGACCATTCTATTACCTCACTACTAGCTAATCAGAGAAGAGCTACGCACTCTGCAGTGCCACCTCCCCAAATGTTGCCTATAAAAACTTCCCTGAAACCCACTGGGGAGTTCAGGTCTTCTGAGCACGAGCCACTCATTCTTCTTGTAAAGAAGAATGGCCCTTGTAATAAGCCTTTCTCTGCTCCAAACCCTGACATTTCAGTTTGTTTGGAATGAATTTCAGTTTGACAACACCCTTACTTATGAAGAAGCAAAACAGTTCTTTTGGTTTTGCTCTTAGGCTTGCAGATTTTTTTTTTCATCTTCTTTTACTATGGAAAAGTTTCTAAAAAGAGGTCCCTTTACTACTCAGGACAAAGACATTATATTCTTTATCTCTAGTAACTAGCAGAGTGCTTGGTACTCACATGTTTTTTTGAGTTGAACTCAACAAAGGAAAAGAAAGGAAAGAAAATATGTTGGCAGACATCTATTGAGAGCTTGTTTCAGATGTGAAGAATCATATAAAAGAACATATTAACAGAAGGAACAGAATAAGCAGCAAGAAGGATTTTGTACCAATTGGAAAGAAAAGAAGCTGGCAAGTATGGGAAATTAGGACGTTTTCTTTGGCGAGGTAAGAGAAAAAAGCAGAGAGATCTAGAAGTTAAAATCATACAAACATGCTAGAAGTCCAATTTGGTGACAACTTCCCTAGCTTGAAAGAAGGAAGGTAAAGAACTGAAGACAAATCAGTGAATACTCTGGTATATGGGAAAGTGAGATATTGATGTTGTTATCTCCTTAAAAGGTGTAAGGTTTAAGTTGAGAGTGGAATTTAGGCAAAAGTAGATATTTTGTTTTCTTGATGTTAAAACTGAGTTAATGTGGATCACAATAAACTGTGGAAAATTCCTAAAGAGATGGGAATACCAGACCACCTGACCTGCCTCTTGAGAAGCCTGTATGCAGGTCAGGAAGCAATAGTTAGAACTGGACATGGAACAACAGACTGGTTCCAAATAAGAAAAGGAGTACGTCAAGGCTGTATATTGTCACCCTGCTTGCTGGGAAGCCTGGCATGCTGCAGTCCATGGGGTCACAAAGAGTCGGACATGACTGAGTGACTGAACTGAACTGAACTGAATGAAAAAAAAAGAATGTGGGTCAAAGAAAACAAATGCAATTGAGTGCCAATAAATAGTTCAGTAAATGCTGTTGAGGTTGATCATAGCTTTTCTTCCAAGGAGCAAGCATCTTTTAATTTCATGACTGCAGTCACCATCAGCAGTGATTTTGGAGCCCAAGAAAATAAAGTCTGTCACTGTTTCCATTGTTTCCCTATCTATTTGCCATGAAGTGATGGGACCAGATGCCATAATCTTAGTTTTTTGAATGTTGAGTTTTAAGCCAACTTTTTCACTCTCTTTTTCCACTTTAATCAAGAGGCTCTTTAGTTCTTCACTTTCTGCCATAAGGGTGGTGTCATCTGCGTATCTGAAGTGAAGTTGCTCAGTTGTGTGTAACTCTTTGCAATCCCATGGACTATAGCCTACCATGCTCCTCTGCCCATGGGATTTCCTAGCCAAGAATAATGGAGTGGGTCAACATTTCCTTCTCCAGGGGACTTTCCCAACCCAGGGATCAAACCCAGATCTCCCTCACTGCAGGCAGCTGAGGTTACTGATATTTCTCCCTGCAATCTCGATTCTAGCTTGTGCTTCATCCAGCCCAGCATTTTGCATGATGTACTCTGCATATAAATGAAACATCAGGGTGACAATATACAGCCTGATGTACTCCTTTCCCAATTTGGAACCAGTCTGTGAAAATAAACAAGTCAGCTAAATAATTCCAGATGGCTAACAAAACTGTGGAAATGGAACTTCTCTGGAGGTCCAGTGGTTAATAATTTGCCCTGCAACGCAGGGAATGTGGTTTGATCCCTCGTTGGGGAACTGAGGTCCCACATGCTGAAGAGCAACCAAGTCTGTGTGCCACAACTACTGAAGTGCATGCCACACCTAGAGAGTTCATGCACCACAACGAAAGATCCTATATGTTGCAGCTAAGACCCAACACAGCCAAATGGGAAAAAAATGCTGTGGAAGTAAACGTGTTTCCTTAGAGAATGTGTGAAAGGAAACAGAAGTAGAACAAACAACCTATGGACCACTTGTGATCACAGGGAGATGATGAAGATAAAGAATATTTAAAAGCAGATTCACAAAGAGTGGTCCATAGCAAGGGGCATTTTAAAAGAAGAGGCTAAGCCAAATATGACCTTTCCTTAGAAAGGAATTACAAATCTTTGAAATCAAGATATTGCCAGAATGGAGGAAAAGATTCTAAAAAGAGAATCAAAAAGAACTGCAAGAAGGAAGGCAAACATACCAAATAGCACACTGAATGCTTATATTTTCTTTAAAGGTTGCACATTACCTGTTCCAAAGCTGTTGAAGCTTTTCTCCCTTGCTCTAGATCAATTGCAGCTGCCATGAGTAAACATGTTTTCTGTGCAATCAGAATTACTTGATCGGAAGGACAAAACTGGGACAGCTGATAAGAAATAACCAGAACATCAATGAATAGGGAGAATTCTGCCAGGTGAACACAAACAATCAGAATGAAAATCAGCAACATCCTGTCTGAATGACAAAATTCAGCTGGAAAACCACATCTCACCTTAAAAATGATATAGGTTATAACACTGATTTATGGTTTTAATTTTATATTACTTTCCATTTTTTAGCACTTTTCGAGAGATTAAAAAGCTTCATTTCTTCACAATTTTCCTGTCTTTCCCAGTGACAAGTACTGTCATTTGGCCCTGTATCTTTATCTAGTGATTTACTTCTTGGCTTATGTTGTAATTTCTAAGTGATTTCTCCCCTGGCAAATAGATTTTCCCTTTGCACTGAATAGAGCTGAAATTAGTACCTATATTTTTCATGGCTGAAAGAGACAATGTCAAATTTTGACAGGCATCAGGATAACCTCATCATTAAACCTTGTACTCTAGCTTTAGAAAAAATTCTCCCATGGGGTGTGCTTAGAGTAGGGGGCCTGAAGAAATGGCTCCTCTGTTTATAACACACCCAACGGGAATCTGGGTTCATTGTGACAAGGGGCACAAAACTTGTGGCTTTCTATGAACAAATATCCAAACACATGCTCCTCTGTAGCTCCACATGGTTGCTGGTAGGACCAGTGGGGCTCAATACTGGAAGAAAACCTACAGTATTTAATGGAGAAGTTTGTCACCTAGAGCTGGTGAGGTACACACATGAGTGTGCCATGGATGGTCTCACAAAGACTTTTAACCTCTCTTTCCAAGGAAAAAAAAAAGAAAAAATAGATTGCAACTGCATGCCATTCTGGAAAAGATAAAACTATGGAGATCTTAAAAAGATCAATAGTTGCCAGGAGTTTGGGGGGAGAGGGGAGATGAATACACAGGGTACAGAAGTCTTATGAGCAGTGAAATACTGTGTATCACATTATAATGATGGATATATATCACTGTACTTTTGTCTAAACCCACAGAATATGCAACACTACTCACTTATTAAAGCGAACCCTATGGTGAACTGTGGACTTTGGTAATTATGATGTGTCAATGCATTTCATCCTTGTTTTTTTTTTAAAAAGGTACCACTCAGTTAATAATGGCTATGCATGTGTGGGGAGGGGATATATGAGGAATTTCTGTACCTTCCTGTCAATTTTGTTGTGAACCTAAAACTGGTTTTAAAAGTCAAAAAAAAAAAAAAAAAAAGAATTAACACTCAGGGTAGACATTTTTGGCATAACTTTTGTTTCCCTTTTATGTGCGTATACATATTATACACAAGATCAACAGAGTTTGTAGGCCACTCTAGCCAAGTTATACTGGCAAATAAAAGCACAAATTAACCTCAAAAAATAACCTCCCAGCATTGTACTACAAAAAATTCTAGGCTACTTAGGATTCAAACATGGAATTCTACTAGTACTATCACAAATGTCAAAGCTAAAACTGATCTTACCTCATTAAAATGGCAATTATACCTAAATTTTCAAACATTATTTCTTATTCTCCCCAAATATTTAGTGATCATAATCATCACCATCATTTAACTAAATAGCATTTCAAGACACCCAATCTCTACAGCTCAGGTAACTCAAATATAAGGTGAAGGACCTGTGCTAGATTACCTATATAGTTTTTTCCAGTTCTAAAACATTTAATTTATCTCAACATAACAGATTTCATACTCCTGAATGTGTATGGAGGATATTCTTTACCACCCCTGCTTTCATCCTCTCATCAATGCTTGTTCCTTTTTCTTTCATTTAACCTCTACCTTGCAGGCTAATGACTATTTTTAAATGCTTATAATTGCAAAACAAATCCAAATCCTTACACATAGAGCTTGCTCTCAGAAAAATTATAAAGCAGATCTAAACTTCTTAGCACCCTTTTAACCTCCTGTTGTCCCCAGATACCTATTCTATATTCCTATAGACTTATACCCAGAACTGTTCCTAACGTTTCGGTAATTTACAACTTCAGATTATTTCCTTCTAAAAAGTTATATTTTTATATAGGACTTTTAGAGACTGAAATTCCTTCAAAGATAAAGGAGTAAGTCTCTTATGGTAGAACTTTACACTCCAGGATGGTTGTTTGTGATACTGTGGTATGGGGAGATCTACCTCATGTTCTCATATTATATCCTCTAGGGATCAAATTCTCCTTAGGTCATTCCTGCTTAAACGTACATTAAGAGTTCCTAGATTAAAAGCCAATCTCACTCTATACTTAGTCCTTGACTATAGCCATAGTGGTCATATCCTTGCTCTGGTTCATACATGAGATACTTATTAGAAGAGACTTACCTTATAAGAAAGTACGAAAAACTCTCTCATTGACAGTGGATCTTTCTCACATTGCACAGCCAAGTTCCAAGCTGAACATTAACAAGAAATAACATAATTATGAAAATTCACTGTTTAATCTGTACCATTATAATCTCCACACCCGTAATATTAACATACTAATGTGGGGTTTCTCAAGGGTTAAAAAAAGCTAACTTTAGGTTTTTAGAGAAATTTTTTTCAGGTAAACTTAGACACTTCTATCACTTCCAATCTTTAATTCTAGGACAATGACTAATGGAAATAGTGTTGAATTTTTTAAAAATCAGGGATATACAATAAAGTCTTAGCTGACACGAATCCATCTAAAAAATGAGTATCACATTGAAGAGTTCATCAACTTCAGTTGGTGAAAGAAAGTTAAAATTCAGCAAAGAACAGGTATATTAGAATCAAAGGTTGAGGAAAACTGATGGAAAGATTCACATGTTTCATTGAGCTGTGGACGTCCCCATTAGGCAACATTCAGCATGATCTTTATCTTGAAAAATCAAAATTAAAATTCAGTAAAACAGGTATTGAGAAATAACTTTTCAAACTTGCAAAACATCAAAGTCATTAAATCTATCTATAATTTAAATGTTTTCTATTTTCCATTATACACTTAAGTTTCCCAGAAGCCAGAGTGCTGTATTTATTCCCTTTTCTGCTAGAGACCCAGTAAACCCCATAAAGCAGAAAAAGGTTCATGAAGAACCAGTTAACCTTATGATACTGATGCTTAATTGCTCTTGCTTACTTATCACTGGAGTGTAAATTTTATAAATAGAATTTACATAAAGTAAATTACATAACTCATAACTGTATAACTTGATGAATTTTCATAAAGTGTATATATTCATGTAACTAATCCAGGTCAAAGAAGATCTTCATCATTACCAGAAACCCAGAAGCAATCCCACGTACTCTCTTCAAGTACTACTCCCTTCAAGTGTAACCACTATCCTGAGTTCTAACACTGTAAATTAGTTGGCCAGCTTTTTGTTTCTTACTATATATAAATGGATCCATGCAGTATATACATAACATCTGGTTTCTTTTGCTCAACATTATTTTTGTGAGATTCATTCATATTGTTGCATGTAGTTTATTTTTCATGATTCACATTTAGAGATAAATTGGGCATTCCAGACCAAGTTTAGGAACATAACCTTGGAGAACTGCAGTTCTAATTCATTATTTTATTCCTAGATTCATTTCAATCGAAAATGAAGAAAACTAACAGTGAGTACATGGTTCCCCATTTTTTATAGTAAAACAAATTAAGCAAGTTATCCTTATACCCATAGCTATAAATTTAAGAGCTAGAATTTGAATCTATCTGATTCTATCACCCCACAATGTTTTGCTTAGCCACAGAATTTCCTTTTACCTGTTTTTCGAAACCAATGAGCTTCGTTAATCTTAGAGATTAAAGGACAGGCTTCTCCTTCAAATAACTGAGGAAGCTTCAGGAGTGCTGCATCAAACAGGAAAATCTGATATTGAGGTCTTTTACTTTATACTCTAACAAAGTTGTTAATCCTGCTTTAAAAACAGTCAGACATGAGCTTGAATTTAGAAAGTTCTTTTTCAGTGTGTGCATGAGTGCATACCAAAATAATTAAAATGACAAAAAGCATTACCAAGCTCTTAGAAACTGTTAATTCAAACTTTGGAGAACAAACACATCTTTGGAGAGATTTTTAATTAGAGCAATCATTCACCACCTGAGGTAGAAAGATATGATTTACGTGTAAGGAAAAAAAGAATAGAAATAATCACTTAAAATACTGAATTGGAGATTGAGGATTAGAAGAGTACTGATAGGTTGGCATAATATTTACTTACTGAACTCCTACAGCAAGCAAAGTACAGAACCAAAATCTGTAGTCATCATCAGAAAGCATTTATTACATACTCTTGTGCCCTTCTGAGAGAGAAGAATGCCAACAGTAGACATTACTCTTTTGAAAAGCTGGGGTTTCTAAACTGCTTTGTTACATTTAACAACCTATTGACAGATATTTGAGGTATAAAAGTGAACTACTGCAATAAATGGGATAGAATTTTTAAGATATGGAGTTTCTGGTGTATTTTAGACTTAAGAAAATTGGCACATTGTTGTTATTTAGTCGCTAAGTCATGCCCAACTCTTTCGTGACCCCATGGACTGTAGCCCACCAGGCTCCCCTGTCCATGGGATTTCCTAGCCAAGAATACTGGAGTGGGCTGCCATTTCCTTCTCTGGGGGATATTCCTGACCCAGGGATTGAACCCACATCTCCTGCACTGCAGGCAGATTCTTTACCACTGAGCCACGAGGGAAGCCCAAATAGGTACATGGGCAGTAGAAATCGGAAGACCTATTAAGCAAAAGACAACACCAAGAAAGAAAGCATGGAGTTGGAAAAAGAATTCAATGGAGCCAAGAAGTTAGCTGAATGAAGTGGGCAGGGAGGAATTATTAGTATACAGAGGAGATGACACAGACTTGGACAGATCGTTGGACAGCCTCAAAATAACAGAGTAAACAATCTGAATTTGATGCAGAGATCATGAAAATTAGTGGGGTTCAGAGTATTTTTGTTTTGATCCTTTTTTACCTGTTCAATTTCTAGGTTAGAATCAAGTGGAAACAGAGATGGAAGGCAGGAAGGAAAAAACAGAAATGTCTTTTTTTTTTTTTTTGAGAATAATCTGCTTTATTCAATGTTTGCTGATTTAAATGTTAATCAAAAAAATATCTTCACAGCAATACCTAGACTGGTGCTTGACAAACAACCGAGTACAAAGTTGACATATTAAAAAAAAAAAATCACCACACAAACTATTCTTAAAGTGGGACCTCAGTTCAGTTCACTTCGGTCACTCAGTTGTGTCCGACTCATTGCAACCTCATGGACTGCAGCACGCCAGGCTTCCCTGTCCATCACCAACTCCTGAAGCTTGCTCAAACTCATGTCCATAGAGTCCATGATGCCATCCAACCATCTCACCCTCTGTCATCCCCTTCTCCTCCTGCCTTCAATGTTTCCCAGCATCAGGGTCCTTTCCAATGAGTCAATTCTTAACATCAGATAGCCAGCGTATTGGAACTTCAGCTTCAGCATCAGTCCTTCCAATGAATACTCAGTACTGATTTCCTTTAGGATGGACTGGTTGGGTCTCCTTGCAGTCTAAGGGACTTTGAAGAGTCTTCTCCAACACCACAGTTCAAAACCATCAACTCTTCAGTGCTCAGCTTTCTTTATAGTCCAACTCTCACATCAATACATGACTACTGGAAAAACCATAGCTTTGACTATACAGACCTTTGTCAGCAAAGTAATGTCTCTGTTTAGACAGCTAATGCTGTCTAGCTTGGTCATAGCTTTTCTTTTTTTTTTTTTCCATTTATTTTTATTAGTTGGAGGCTAACTACTTTACAACATTGCAGTGGTTTCTGTCATACATTGAAATGAATTAGCCATGGATTTACATGTATTCCCCATCCCGGTCCCCCCTCCCACCTCCCTCTCCACCCGATCCCTCTGGGTCTTCCCAGTGCACCAGGCCCGAGCACTTGTCTCATGCATCCAACCTGGGCTGGTGATCTGTTTCACCCTAGATATACATGTTTCAATGCTGTTCTCTTGAAACATCCCACCCTCGCCTTCTCCCACAGAGTCCACAAGTCTGTTCTATACATCTGAGTCTCTTTTTCTTTTTTTGCATATAGGGTTATTGTTACCATCTTTCTAAATTCCATATATATGTGTTAGTATACTGCAATGGTCTTTATCTTTCTGGCTTACTTCGCTCTGTATGATGCGCTCCAGTTTCATCCATCTCATTAGAACTGATTCAAATGAATTCTTTTTAATGGCTGAGTAATATTCCATGGTGTATATGTACCACAGCTTCCTCATCCATTCGTCTGCTGATGGGCATCTAGGTTGCTTCCATGTCCTGCCTATTATAAACAGTGCTGCGATGAACATTGGGGTGCACGTGTCTCTTTCAGATCTGGTTTCCTCAGTGTGTATGCCTAGAAGTGGTATTGCTGGGTCATATGGCAGTTCTATTTCCAGCTTTTTAAGGAATCTCCACACTGTTTTCCATAGTGGCTGTACTAGTTTGCATTCCCACCAACAGTGTAAGAGGGTTCCCTTTTCTCCACACCCTCTCTAGCATTTATTGCTTGTAGACTTTTGGACAGCAGCCATCCTGACTGGCGTGTAATGGTACCTCATTGTGGTTTTGATTTGCATTTCTCTGATAATGAGTGATGTTGAGCATCTTTTCATCTGTTTTTTTGCCATCCGTATGTCTTCCTTGGAGAAATATCTGTTTAGTTCTTTGGCCCATTTTTTGATTGGGTCATTTATTTTTCTGGAATTGAGCTGCAGGAGTTGCTTGTATATTTTTGAGATTAATCCTTTGTCTGTTGCTTCGTTTGCTATTATTTTCTCCCAATCTGAGGGCTGTCTTTTCACCTTGCTTATAGTTTCGTTTGTTGTGCAAAAGCTTTTAAGTTTCATTAGGTCCCATTTGTTTATTTTTGCTTTTGTTTCTAAAATTCTGGGATGTGGGTCATAGAGGATCCTGCTGTGATTTATGTCGGAGAGTGTTTTGCCTATGTTCTCCTCTAGGAGTTTTATAGTTTCAGGTCTTACATTTAGATCTTTAATCCATTTTGAGTTTATTTTTATGTATGGTGTTAGAAAGTGTTCTAGTTTCATTCTTTTACAGGTGGTTGACCAGTTTTCCCAGCACCACTTGTTAAAGAGGTTGTCTTTTTTCCATTGTATATCCTTGCCTCCTTTGTCAAAGATAAGGTGACCATAGGTTCGTGGATTTATCTCTGGGCTTTCTATTCTGTTCCATTGATCTATATTTCTGTCTTTGTGCCAGTACCATACTGTCTTGATGACTGTGGCTTTGTAGTATAGTCTGAAGTCAGGCAGGTTGATTCCTCCAGTTCCATTCTTCTTTCTCAAGATTACTTTGGCTATTCGAGGTTTTTTGTATTTCCATACAAATTGTGAAATTATTTGTTCTAGTTCTGTGAAAAATACCGTTGGTAGTTTGATAGGGATTGCATTGAATCTATAGATTGCTTTGGGTAATATAGCCATTTTGACAATATTGATTCTTCCAATCCATGAACACGGTATATTTCTCCATCTGTTTGTGTCCTCTTTGATTTCCTTCATCAGTGTTTTATAGTTTTCTATGTATAGGTCTTTTGTTTCTTTAGGTAGATATACTCCTAAGTATTTTATTCTTTTTGTTGCAATGGTGAATGGTATTGTTTCCTTAATTTCTCTTTCTGTTTTCTCATTGTTAGTGTATAGGAATGCAAGAGATTTCTGTGTGTTAATTTTATATCCTGCAACTTTACTGTATTCATTGATTAGCTCTAGTAATTTTCTGGTAGAGTCTTTAGGGTTTTCTATGTAAAGGATCATGTCATCTGCAAACAGCGAGAGTTTCACTTCTTCTTTTCCTATCTGGATTCCTTTTACTTCTTTTTCTGCCCTGATTGCTGTGGCCAACACTTCCAAAACTATGTTGAATAGTAGTGGTGAGAGTGGGCACCCTTGTCTTGTTCCTGATTTCAGGGGAAATGCTTTCAATTTTTCACCATTGAGGGTGATGCTTGCTGTGGGTTTGTCATATATAGCTTTTATTATGTTGAGGTATGTTCCTTCTATTCCTGCTTTCTGGAGAGTTTTAATCATAAATGGATGTTGAATTTTGTCAAAGGCTTTTTCTGCATCTATTGAGATAATCATATGGTTTTTATCTTTCAATTTGTTAATGTGGTGTATTACATTGATTGATTTGCGGTTATTAAAGAATCCTTGCATTCCTGGGATAAAGCCCACTTGGTCATGGTGTATGATTTTTTTAATATGTTGTTGGATTCTGTTTGCTAGAATTTTGTTAAGGATTTTTGCATCTATGTTCATCAGTGATATTGGCCTGTAGTTCTCTTTTTTTGTGGCATCTTTGTCTGGTTTTGGAATTAGGGTGATGGTGGCCTCATAGAATGAGTTTGGAAGTTTACCTTCTTCTGCAATTCAGAAATGTCTTTTTAAAAATGTGATTACAGTTAATTAAAATTAATTAATGTAATTAAAAACAGAGTTGAAATCACATTTGGAGATGAATGCTAGTGATGGCAAACTTTTCTCTGCTTGTGAATAAAGAAACTAGGTATACTGCTGTGACAAATGTTTGTAAAAACATGAAGCTAAACTCAAACATGAAGCCTGAGACAGTGTGCTCAATATACTTGGAGAATTTATATATTAATAGAGGATAGAGGCAAGATGAAAGAGTGAAAATAATCAAGGAGATATTTACCTGTACTGAAGTAAGCCAAAAGTCTATTCATTTCTTTCTTCCTAAAAAATAAAGAAAAGAGTATTTTCCTGCTGTTCGAAAGCTTTACTACAGAAAAGTATCAAAAAGAGACTCTATTTGTGCCTGAGAGCTTCTCAAAGAAAATGCAAAATTGTGAAGTTTGTTGCTCAAGATGCCAATCTATCATTTTACACTGTTTTTCCCCATTATAGGATACTGTTCCTCAGCCCCAATGTCCTCATATTTTTTTTCTCTCTTTCCCCTCTACACCTATTCTTAAGCAAAGGATTTCAATGACTGATAAAGTTTTATATTACAGGGTCATAGAATTTGAGAGCAGGTAGTGATCTCTGTGATTTTCGACTTTTTTTTTTTTGAAGAGGGGAAACTAGAACCTGTGTTTCAGATAAAATTTTATATACAAGAAGAGACAGAGTATAGCTGCTCTGGTTGAACCATTCATGGGCAGAGGAAGTTCCTGAGGCAGTGCCACAGAATTTCCAGGTTTCTAAGGAATACAGTTTAAAAATCACTTATCCATAACCTTAATTTTATAGATGAGAAAACATATCTGGAAATTGGGGATGATTTGTCTAAGGTCATGCAATGACAATGTCAAGACTACTACTACTCAAGCCTTTGGATCCTTTGTTAAGCTTCCTTGTGTGCTGTGCTTAGTTGCTGGGTCGTGTCTGCCTCTTTGCGACCCCATGGTCTTTGCGACTGTGGTCTGCCAGGCTCCTCTGTCCATGGAGATTCTCCAGGCAAGAATACTGGAATGGATTGCCATGCCCTCCTCCAGAGAATCTTCCCAACCCAGAGATCAAACCCAGGTCTACCGCATTGCAGGCAGATTCTTTACCATCTGAGCCACCAGGGAAGCCCTAAGTTTCCTTAGGTGGGGTACATAAATTTTAATAGAGAAAAACATCCCATTATGTTTAAACAAAGGATTAAATATGGAAGTATTGGCTAACTCAATTAAAGAAGTTTATACTAAGTAGGGTAGAATATACTGTAAGACTAGTCTTATCAGGAGAATGTCTAATATTATACAATGCACACTGTGCTTCAAGAAAACTAGCCGCTTTCTAAGGGATAAACAATAGACATCTACTTTATACAAAGCAACTTCTAACATAAATTTCATTAATCTGAATTTAAGGTGAGCTAAAGTTGACTTCTTCACTATTTAATTCAGTGACTATATAAAAGAATCTATGAGGGTTCATTAAAGCAAATAAATAGTACAAGTAAGAATGAGGATATGGAAAGGAATGAACAGTCTATGTAAGACAGAAACTGCTTTAAAAAGTTTTAAGTAGATACTGTACTTTAAAACCATAAGATTTTTAGAAGAGGACAGAACTTTAGAAATTTGTTCATCTTCTTGTATTTAATAAGTGAAGAAAATAAAGCTTAGAGAAGTCAAGTAAGTTGTTATTGTCTAAAGTAAACCAGAAGTTAGTGAAATAGCTGAAACTAGAACTCAATTCTCTGACTCTTTCCACTGAATTAGGCCTTTTTTCCCCTAAATTAGTCTATTTGTTAAATCAGGTCCTGACCTCTAAAACATTGCTAGTAGATGTTCTTTATTTTTTTAGATGTTCTTTATTACTGTATTTACATGAAAACAATAAAGGCATAATTCAAAACTATTCAGTAATTTAAATTTGTCCTTAATTTAAACAAGATGCCTTTTTTTCCCCCATCTTCAAATTAGTTTTAATGAGTGGCATCTGACTGTGCATTGCAATTACATGGAGTATGAAGCACCTTGTAAGTCCAATATAAGATCTTCTTATAAAGAGCTGATATTTAGTCATTTAAACAAATCGAGTGACTACTATGTATCTGATACTGTCCTAGGTTTCAGAGATACAAAGATAAATATAAATAGCCCTAGCCTGCAAGGAGCTCTTACGTTCTATTAGCTATCAAGGTTTAGTCTCTGAGTTTCCTATTTTATTCTTTAACTTTTCATTGTTGAAAATTTCAAAGAAGTTTGTATGTGTTAACAGATGAATGAACCCCCAGGTACCCATGGCTTAGCTTCAATAATTATTAATTCATCATCAATCTTATTTCAATGATACCTCCAACTAGCCATATTATTTTGAAGCAAATTCCAGATATCACATAATTTCATCCATAAATATTTTAGGGTGTGTCGATAAAAGTATTCTTTAAAAATCATAACTATATTACCATTATATGCTTTAAAGATAATAATTATTTTAAAATTATTTATTTGGCTGTGCTGGGTCTTAGTTGTAGCATGTGGAATCTTTTAGTTGTGGCATATGGAGTTTAGTTTCCTGACCAGTGATCGAACCAGGACCCCTGCATTAGAATTGTGGAGTCTTAGCCACGTACCACCAGGGAAGTTCCAATAATTTCTTAATATCATCAAATATTTGATCATTATTCAAATTCCAATTATCTCAGTTTTTGTTTTTAGTCTGAGTGCCCTTCAAATGGATTCATAGAACCTGTAAAGAGGAGGCAAAACTTAACCATACATGTATGGGTAGAATTTGTATTATAAAAAAAGTTATGTCATCAATATAATATTATCTCAGTTATAGATGGTTCCCAATGAACTTAGCTGAAAAAATATTATACCTCCAGGTACAAACATACAAAGCAAAAATGAAGTAGTGGTACACTATTATAGACTTTTTGTTCAAGCAGAGACAATAGAGATGAGTGATATTTCTCTGAAAGTCATCCCTACTCAAGATCTTGAATAGTTTTCTTTTAAATTATTAGGAGTAAATGAATTTTTGGGATGAAAAATGGGTGACCTAATTCTTCCACAAATTGTTAAGTTCTTGATATTGTATGCCACAGAAACTGTGAGCAGAAAGATATTTGAATACTCCCAGCTGAGCTGATAGAAAATCACAATCAACAAACCAATCAGGTTATTTATGTTTCTGTGGGAAAGTAAGAGATACATCTATATGTAAGTCTCCTGTTAAGAAAGGGAAAAACAGACTTCCCTGATGGTCCAGTGGTTAAGAATCTGCCTGCCAAAGCAGGGGACACAGGTTTGATCCATGATCTGGTGAGATTCCACATGCCACAGAGCAACTAGACCCATGTGCCAGAACTACTGAGCCTGTGCTCTACAGCCCATGAGCCGCAACTACCGAAGCCTATAATATAGAGTCTGCACTCCACAACAAGAGAAGGCACCACAATGAGAAGCCCTCACACCACAATTAGAGAGTAGCCCCTGCTCACTGCAACTGGAGAAAGCCTGCATGTAGCAACGAGGACCCAGCGCAGCCATAAATAAATAAATGGGAAAAACAGATGCAATATCATAATGAAATCTCATAGCTAATGTTACTGAGGGCATGGTAAGGATCTGGCAACATCTAAGTGTTTTACACTTATTTATTCATCAAGTCATCACAGTAACCTCATAGGGAAGGTATTATCATTACACTCATTTTACAGATGGGGAAACAGAGGCCCAGGTTACATGTCTAATAAGTGGCAGAGCCAAAATATAAATTCAGGAAGACTATCCCCAGAGTCTATATTGCCCTTACCCATTATACTATATATTTCTCAATGTTAGGTTTCTAGTGGAAGTTTTTCTATTTTTTTTTCTAATGGTGAATACAGCATTTCTGTTGAATTATAACTTACTTGTTTTCAGATTCTGGCATTTGAGAAACTCTTGGAAGGAAAAGATGAAACAAACACCTGTATGATAAAGTAATAAAAAAAAAAAGTGATATTTAGAAAGCAATCAAGTTAGTAATATTGAGTACCCCAGGGGGTGGAAGTAAGAAAAGAGAGGGGAAAAAGAGACTAATTATTTTATTTGTAAGTCTTTGTATGTCTTAATGATTGCAATGAAAACATATCAACTTGGTAATTTTGGAAGAGTAATTTAGTAAAATAATTTTAAAACAAAAGCATTGCTTATTAGACATTCTTAAATAGTTTCACAGTTTATATCATTGCCCCCAAATCACCTCCTGGAACATTAGGCATAGTGTACAAGTCTTTTATATTTTTCTTTCTATAAAGGAAGCTGGAACTGCCCTTTGGGTTCCATATAAACTAGGATGAGTACTTTTTGAAGGGATCTGGCAGGATGATGACAAATTGACAAAATAAGGTATTTTGTGAAGTTTCAAACCTTAAAAATCTTTAAAAATAAAAAACAGTATCAACCATCCTGGATGATTTTAGATATTTATCTGACTAAACATATGCAAGTATCTCAAGACTCCCTCTGATATTATTATATCTGTGATTCCACTTCCCTTCAGAAGAGTGGACTCAAGTACAGTTGACCAACAGGATAATCACTACAGACCCCTTCTGGTTTCCAGTTTTTCCACTGGCATATTCTCAGTTACATCATTAGGGGTTACCATTACCTCAGCCTCTTCTGCCTCATTATTGTATGTAAAAGTTCCCTTTTGATAAACCATTTTCCTTCACAGAAAGATATAAAGAAAAGATCAGGTTTAACTGATATGTTCTTTTTTTTTTAACTTTAAGCATTCTTACCAAATTTCCAGTAGCATTTTTCACAGAAATAAGAGAAAAAAAATCCTGAAATTCATACAGAACCAAAAAAGACCCTGAACAACCAAAGCAAGCTTGAAAAAGAAGAAAGTTAGAGCCATCACATTTGTTTTCAAACTATACTACAAAGCTATAGTAATCAAAACAGCATGGTACTGGCATAAGAATAGTCACATAGACAAATGGAATAGAAACCTATATATCATCAACCAATATTTGACAAGGGAGACATGAATACTTAATAGAGGAAATATAATCTTTGTCAGTAAGTGGTACTGAGAAAACTGATATCCACACACAAAAGAATGAAACCGGACCCTTATCTCTCACTACACAGAAAACATAGATCAAAATGGATTAAAGACTTAATCCATTAATGGATTAAGACTTAAAAAAGAAAGAAAAAACTTACAAGCATAAAACTCCTGGAAGAAAACACAAGCAAAAACTCCTTGATAATGACTTTTTGGATATGATACCCAAAGCACAAGCAACAAAAGCAAAAATGAGTTAAAATGAGTAAGTGGGGCTAAATCACAGTAAAAATCTTCTGCATAGCAAAGGAATCTATCAAAAAAATGAAAAGGCAACTAATAGAATGGAAGAAAATATCTGCAAATAATATATCTAATAAGAGGTTAATATCTAAAATATATAAGGAACTCCTACAGCTTAACTGCAAAAAACAATCTTATTTTAGCATGGGCAGAAGCCCTGTATAGATACTTTTCCAAAGAAGATATCCAAATGGCCAACAAGTACATGAAAAGATGCTCAACATTATAATCATCAGGGAAATGCAAATCAAAACCACACTGAAATAGCACCTCACACCTGTTAGAATAGCTATTAACAAAAAACAAGAGATAATAAGTTTTGTAGAGAAAAGGAAGCCTTCGTGTGTTGTTGACGGGAATACAAGTTGGTACAGCCACTGTGGAAAAACAGCATGGGGGTTCCTCAGAAATTAAATATAAAACTGCTATACAATTCAGCAACCCAACTTTGGGATATGTATCTAAAAGAAAGGAAATCAGTGTTGTGAAGAAATATCTCCACTGCCAAGTTCACTAAAGCATTATTTGCAATAGCTAAGACATGGAGACAACCTTAAGTGTCCATCAATGGAGGAATAAAGAAAATGTAGTATGTGTACTTGCACACACACACAGGAATATTATTTAACTAGATAAAAGAAAATCCTGCCTTTTGTGACAACATGGACAGACTCTGAAGGCATTGTACTAAGTGAAATAAGTCAGACAAAGAAAGACAAGTACTGGATTATCCCCCTTTCATGTGGAATCTCTAAAAAAAGAAAGAAAGAAAGAAAATAACAAAAAAAGGAAGAAAATCCAAACACACAGAAACAGAGTAGAATGATGTTTGTCAGGGCCTGTAGGTGGAGAAAATGGAGAGATGTTGGTCAAAGGGTATAAACTTCCAGTTACAAGTTGAACACAGCCCAGAGGTCTAATGTACAGCATGGTGACTATAGCTAACCACACTGTATTATATACCTGAAGGTTGCTAAGAGAGTAAATCTTAAATGTTCTCACCACATACAGTGTAGTATTTTGTGAGGTGATGGATGTAATCTTATTGTGCTAACCATTTAATAATATGAATGTGTATTAAATCACCAAGTTATATACCTTAAACTTACAAAACACCACCATCTGTCAGTTAAATCTCAATAAAGCTGGGGGGAAAAAAAATCACTTGCTATCGTAGGCATTGTTTCAGCCTGAAGCCATCAGTAGTATTACGGCAAAATTTATAGATCAAGAGTAACATGTATAGAGGAAATGCTCTTACATCCACAGGATGTGGATTACTTACTTTAAAGCTGTAAGAACTTGTTGCGGGTCTTCCGAAAGTTTAGCTAAATTTTCCAAAGCTTTTACTGCTACAACTAATTGGCCATTCTAAAAAGGATAAATATAACATGTTAAATTACATTTCAAAATGATACTTACAAAATACTGCCTATATTCCTGCCCATAAGGACAAGAAAAAAAATCTAAACTTGTCTGTTTTGTATTCTCAAAAGAGTTGCCGCAAGATGGTAGAAGGATTACTCATTGAAAAAATTTTTACTAAACAGGTTCATACTGGCCCCAGAAAGCCACTCCTCTCTATCCACAAACACTCATAGGCTTGCCAACACTGCTTTGACTCCACTAGGACTATAGGCTTGCCAACACTGCTTTGACTCCACTAGGACTAATCTTACTATGCTCTTTATTCCTGTTTATCAGCAGTAACCAAAAGAACCCTAGACTCTGAGATCACCCTCATTTCCAGCACCCTAATCCACATAAGGGTTTCCCACATGGCTCAGTGGTAAAAAAAAACCCACCTGCCAATGCGGGAGACACAGGATTGATCCCTGGGTCAGGAAGATCCCCTGGAGAAAAAATAGCAACCCACTCCAGTATTCTTGCCTGGGAAGTCCCATGGTCAGAGGAATCTGGTGGGCTGCAGTCCATGGGATCGTAAAAGAGTTGGATACAACTCTTTTTTGACTAAACAACAAACCTTTCTAATTCACTCCTTTTATCACTCCAGCAATCCTTCAACTGCATTAAGATCGCCAATACATTGACACTACTAACATTTCACCGTTTCTATTCTCTTTGAAGTCCTCCTCTGTTATCTAGTTTAAATTCCATGGGGATTCATTATAACCATTTCCTTCTTTCTTGATTTTTCTGCCCCTCTTTCGCTTCGTTCTGTTCATCTGGCAAAACCATGTTGTTGTTCAGTCACTAAGTCGTATCAGCAACCCCAAGCCTGGTTAAATTCAACTTTCTAGTCACTTTTGTGCCTGTATACATGTAGCTGAAACTAGCCAGATAAAAACCTGTACAACTATTTTAAAATTTCATCAAATGGACCTTACTGCTACAAGGCAAGCATACCACATACCCTTGCCATTCACTTTTTTGATTTTCTGGATGATTAGTTGACATCTTGTCCTCTCCTCTCAAGTCCCCAACACCTCCTCTCCTATTCTTACTCTTGGGTGATGACCTTGTTTCCCACTTCACTGAGAAAAGTGAAGCAGTCAGGGAAAGAAGTTCTACAGATTCCCACCATCACATCTACTCACACACCAGGAACCACACCCATATACTCTGCCTTCTCAACTGTTATCATAAATGAACTATCCACGTTTCTTCCTACTTGTTATTCAGTTGCTAAGTCATGTCCAACTCTTTGCAACCCCATGGACTGCAGCAAGCCAGGCTTCCCTGTCCTTCCCTATCTCCCCAAGTTTGCTCAAACTCATGTCCATTGAGTCAGTGATGCTTTCTAACCACTTCATGCTCTGCCTCCCCACTTCTCTTTTTGCCTTCAATCTTTCCCAGCATCAGAGTCTTTTCTAATCAGCTGGTTCTTCACAGTAGGTGGCCAAAGTATTGGAGTTCAGCATCAGTCCTTCCAATGAATATTCAGGGTTGATTTCCTTTAGGATTGACTAGTTTGATCTTCTTGCAGTCCAAGGGACTCTCAAGAGTCTTCTCCAAAAAAAAAGTCTTCTCCAGCACCACAGTTCAAAAGCATCAATTCTTCGGCACTCAGTCTTCTTTATGGTCCAACATATATCCATACATGACTACTGGAAAAACCACAACTTTTACTATATAGACCTTCATTGGAAAAATGATGTCTCTGCTTTTTAATACACAATCTAGGTTTTTCATAGCTTTTCTTCCAAAGAGGAAGTGTCTTTTAATTTCATGGTTGCAGTTAGCACCCACAGTTTCTTTGGAGCCCGAGAAAATAAAATCCATCACTATTTCCACATTTCCCCCTTCTATTTGTCATGAAGTGATGGAACTGGATGCCATGATCTTATTTTTTTTTGAATTCTGAGTTTTAAGCCAGCTTTTCTTCCTAGAGCCAATCCCTAAAATTATACACTTGTGTCCATTACTGTTTAATGCCATTAGTCTAACAACTTTCATTTTTCTAACACTGCCAACTTTTGTTCTCTAACTGGGTCATTCCAATCAGTATATAAGCATTCTCATTCATCCCATTTCAAGCAAATAAGCAAACCTCTTTATCCTACTTCTCTCACTGACTACTGCCCCATTTCTTTTATTTTTCTCACCCAACTTCCTTTCTTCCCTTTGTAGTAAACTTTTCTACAGAATTGTCTATACTTATTGCATCCAATTTTTTTTCCTTCAATTCTCTCTTGAGCCTACTGTAATCAGGCATTTGTCCTACCTCGACCAAAACTGCTCTTGTCAAGCTCACCAACGACCAACATATTATAAATTCCAATGGTCAATTCTCAGTCCTCATTGTATTTGACATATCAGCAACAATCAACATAGTTAATCACTCTTTCCTCCTTGAAATACAGCTGCCTTCTAAGACACCACACCATCCTTGTTTTCTCCTACCTCATGGGTTGTTCTCTTTCATTAACTACCCTTTACTGGTTCCTCTCAGTTCAGTTCAGTTCACTCAGTCGTGTCCGACTCTTTGTGACCCCATGGATTGCAGCACACCAGGCCTCCCTGTCCATCACCAGCTCCCAGAGTTTACTCAAACTCATGTCCATTGAGTCGGTGATGCCATCCAACCATCTCATCCTCTGTCGTCCCCTTCTCCTTCCACCTTCAATCTTTCTCAGCATTAGGGTCTTTTCAAATTAATCAGTTCTTCACATCAAGTGGGTCAAAGTATTGGAGTTTCAGCTTCAACATCAGTCCTTCCAATGAATATTCAGGACTGATTTCCTTTAGAATGGACTGGCTGGATCTACTAGCAGTCCAAGGGACTCTCAAGAGTCTTCTCCAATACCACAGTTCCTCTGAACAGTTACTGGTTCCTCTGCTTTTCTCTAAACCATTCATGTTTGAGGGCTCCAGGCTCAGTCTCTGGTCATTTTCTCCATTTCATTTATACTGACTTCCTTGGTGATGGCATCCCAGTCTAATAGCTTTATATATCAACTATATATTAATGACTCTTAATGAACCTTTCTCTTCAGCCCAGACCTCTTTCAGAACTCTAGGATTTTATCAACTGACTACTTGGATCTCCATTTGGATGGCCTAACAGACATCTCAAATGCATCATGTCCAAATCGCACTCCTAACTGTCCTCCCAACTCTGCTCTATTTACAGTTGATGGCAACTATGTTTGATGACCCAGTCTCTTTCTCTTATACCCTTTATCCAATCTGTCAGCAAATTCTCTTATCATTTACTTCCATTGTTATCTCCCTTATCTGAGTCACCTTAATCTTTTCTCTGGATTACTTTAAAAACTTCCTAATAAGTATCCTTACTTCCACTTTAGCTCTTCTTTTCTGGCCTATTCTCAATATAACACCAAGAGTATTTCTGTTAAATAAAAGTCAAATCATGTTACGACTCAATTAAAAACACTCCAATGTCATTCAGAGTAAAAGTCAAAGTACTTTCACTAGTCTATAAGGATCTATATAATCCAGACTCTCTATTACCTCTCTGACTTGATCTCTCACTAATCCCACCCTTACTCACTCTAGCCATACTGGCTTCCTTGCTGCTCCTGGTACCTACCTACCTTACAGGCTTTGAATTGGTGTTACCTCTGCCTGGAATACTGTTCCTCTTCACTTCCCCCATATATCTACAGGATTAACTCCCTCACCAATTTCAAGTCTTTGCACAATGTCATCTTCTTGATGAGACCTATCCTTATCACCCTATTTGAAAAAAATAACTGACACCAATTTCAGCCCATTCCCATCCCTGATCCTTTTTAAGACTGCTCTATTTTTTCTATATTGCTATCAACTTCTAACATATTATGTAATTTCTTATTTATTATGCTTATTAATATTGTCTTTCCTCCTGCTTGAATGTTAGCTCCAAGAAGGCATATAACTGTTTTGTTTACTTATTTATACCAAGAGCCCAGAACAATGGTTGGCACATAGTAGGTACTCAATAAATACCTGCTGAATGAATGATAGTCTCATTAGCACTTGAAATGCCTTTTGCAAAGCAACTACACTAAGTGAAACCTGGATTCCACCCTTATTCTTTTGTAGAAATATATTCAATTTCCTGGGCTTGGCTCATCCATACTTCCTTCCATCTTCTAATTCAAACTACTTTGGGTTTCTTCTCCCCTGATTCTTTCTCTTCTATTAAAATTATTTGCTTTTCAGAAATATAGTTCCATAATTCTTCCACCACCTTTCTTCTGCTTTCCATCAGATATAACTTTATAAACCTTCCTTTAAAAACATATTTGCCTTTGGGTTCCCCATTACAGATTTTTCTCTCATTTTCTGCACAAACACATCCTGTATCCACATCTGCCAAATAGTTTTCCTCTTCCAGGAGTTTTATTATCCTATTCATTAACATCAAACACATGTCATTCAAAATTATATTTAGCTATTACTTTGGGCAAGATACTGGACTGGGTGCTAGAAATACGGCACTCAAGGATCTTATAAGTCAAGTTGGACAGACAATCCATGCATTAACAATATAAGGCATTATATAAGATATAGACCAAATAAGTAGTATACACATTAAAAATGACTGAAATTCAGAGTAGGAGGAGAGCACTGACAACTAGAATTGATTTGGGAAGTCTGTACAGTGGAAGAAAATCTTAAGTTGGACTTTGAAAAAGGTAACATTTAAATAAGAACATTTCTTAAAAGACAGAATAGTATAAATAAGACACGGAAAAAGGAATGTGATTGGCCTGTTTGAGAAACACTGAATGTGCTTGGAGTTATAGAAGTCTTATGCCTCCACTATTCTAGACCCTGTGCCTAAGGTAATGGTGGCTTATATCACTATGATGATGATACAGGGGAGTAATATGAGATAAAGTAGAAGAGACACCTGTGGCCAGATTGTATATTGTTAATAACATACTGTTAATAACAACAAAAAACTATTAGATAAAGCTTCTTTGATTACAAATCACATTTTCAGCCATCTTCTCAGTTAATTTTCACAATAATCCTGGAAGTAGGCATTATCTTTATTTCAAAATGATGAAATTAAGATTCAAAGAAGTACTTCAGTGGCAGAGCCAGAACTCAACCCAGTCCAACAGCCTGACAGTTGCTAAAATGCTTTTCCTAATCCTATATATTACTAAGACCAGAATTTTGCCAATAAAAAAAGGAGGTACAAGTTATTATTGCTTCCAAACTAAAGTTGTTTTTCAGTTATAAACTAGAAAGTTCCATTAAGGTTCAAACTTTTTTTTTTTGCAAACCAATGCGATAGATACATCTCCAAATAAATATTTTTTTTACATAGTATAGCATTTTAAATCTCAAGTTTCTATTCAAAGTTAATGTTTTGCTATGCACATTTTTCTATTGTTTTAAGAACAAATATCTAACTTCACTTTGTTTTATTTACTTTAAATCACAAAAAAATGAAGAGAAATAAAGCAATTCTCCAACCAAACTTCGTGTGAAAATAATGAGGCAAAATAGATGATAAAGAAAAGCCTCTCCTGAGCCTAACTGATGAAGATTCCATTATAATAGTCTCTGAAAATGGAAAAGAGGTAAAAATCTCATAAATGGGTACATAAGAATTACCTCTAGAGCAAACTGGGCAGCCAAAGTGAGAAGCATGACACCTGAACTTCTCTTTGTAGATACATTATTCTCATGTTGCTCTTGAGCCATTAATAGATACTCTAAAGTGATAATTGCCTGCAAAGCTGAAAAACAAGGAGACAATTAAAGATGAGACACTCTTATCAAAGATAATAACTATCTATGGTTATTATACCACAATGACTTTGGAATTCATTTTAAGAGCACTAATATCTTAAAAACATTAATTTTCAAAAGTCACCTAAATAGCTAAACTGTTGAGGACTTGAAAGTCAGAAAAATGCCCAACTGAGCAGTTCACCTCTTTGAATTTATTCCATGAATATACATGCAAAAGTGAATAAAAAACATACTAATATATTCACACAGCAATTTTTAATAAGAGTAAAATATCCTAAATTTAATCAATAATGAATAGGATAAATATAATTTGGTACATATAATACAGAATAGAGTAAAAAATTATATTTCATCATATGCCTTAAAGGTAGACCATGGTAAGTTAAATATATGTACTATAGACCTTAAGTAACAACTAAAATAACAAAAGAAAAAGTTATAGCTAATAAGCCAAAGATGAGATAAACGTAGTGATAAAACATTCAATTAACCCAAAAGAAAGCAGAAAAAAGAAAAATGGCAAGAAAGACCAGAAAAGACAAACAGAAGACAAATAACAGGATGCTAAATTTAAACCTAGCCATATCAACAATCATGTTAAAATATAAATGGTCTAGATGATCCATTTAAAAGACAGAGACAGATTAAATTAAAGAAAGTGACTTTTAGCTATACACAACTAACAAAAAAAAATACTTTAGAAATAAAGCCAAAATTGGTTAAAAGAAAATGATGGGATAATATACACTCTGGTAGAGGTTATCAAAAGAAAGCTGGAGTGGTTATATTAATATCACACAAAACAGGCAAACATAAATTCAAAAATTCTCAACAAAGTACTAGCAAAGCAAATGTGACAACACACTAAAAGGATCATACACCATGATCAAGTGGGATTTATCCCTGGGAGGCAAGGATTCTTCAATATGTGCAAATCAATCAATGTGATACACCATATTAACAAATTGAAGAATTTTAAAAAAAGAATAAAAACCATATGATCATCACAATAGATGAAGAAAAAGCTGTCATCAAAATTCAATACCAATTTATGATAAAAATTCTCCAGAAAGTGGGCATAGAGGGAACCTATCACAACATAATAAAGGTCATATACAACAAACCCACAGCAAACGTTATTCTCAATAGTGAAAAATTGAAAGGATTTCCTCTAAGATCAGGAACAAGACAAAGGTGTACAATCTCACCACTATTATTCAACATAGTCATGGAAGTCCTAGCTACAGCAGAGAACAAGGAAATAAAAGAATTACAAATTCGAACAGAAGTAAAACATTCACTGTTTGCAGATGACCTGATACTATACATAGAAAACCCTAAATACACCACCAGAAAACTACTACAGCAAATCAATGAATTTAGTAAAGTTGCATGATACAAAATTAACACACAGAAATCTCTTGCATTCCTATACACTAACAATGAAAGATCAGAAAGAGAAATTAAGGAAACAATCCCATTTACCACTGCAACAAAAAGAATAAAATACCTAAGAATAAACCTACCTAAGGAAGCAAAAGACCTTAAGGAAACAATCCCATTTACCATTGCAACAAAAAGAATAAAATACCTAAGAATAAACCTACCTAAGGAAGCAAAAGACCTGTACAAAGAAAACTGTAAGATATTGCTGAAAGAAATCAAAGATGATACAAAACAGATAAGAGATATATCATGTTCTTTGATCAGAAGAATCAATATTGTGAAAATGACTATACTACCCAAAGCAATGTACAGATTCAATGCAATCGCTATCAAATTACCAATGACATTTTTCACAGGACTAGGAAAGAAAATTTTACAATTTGTATGAAAACAGAAAAGACCCTGAATAGCCAATGCAATCTTGAGAATGAAAAGTGAAGCTGGAGAGATCAGATTCCCTGATGTCAGATTATGTTACAAAGCTACAGCCATCAAGACAGTATGGTACTGGCACAAAAAAGAAATGTACACTGATGGAACAGGATAGAAAGTCCAGAGATAATTCCATGCACTTATGGTCACCTAATCTGTGATAAAGGGGGCAAGAATACACAGTGGAGAAAAGACAGTCTCTTCAATAAGTGGTGCTGGGAAAACTGGACAGCTACATGTAAAAGAATGAAATAGAACACCTCCTAATACCATGCACAAAAATAAACTCAAAATGGATTAAAGACCTAAAGGTAAGACTAGACACTATAAATCTCTTAGAGGAAAACATAAGCAGAACACTCATAGACATAAATCACAGTAGGGTCTTTTTTGAACCACTTCCTAGAATAAAAATAAATAAAAACAAACATGAACAAATAGGACCTAATTAAACTTAAAAGAACACAACTGCACTCATCTCACAAGCTAGCAAAGTAATGCTCAACATTCTCCAAGCCAGGCTTTGACAATACGTGAACCGTGAACTTCCAGATGTTCAAGCTGGATTTATAAAAGGTAGAGGAACCAGAGATCAAATTGCCAACATCTGCTGGATCATCAAAAAAGCAAGAGAATTCCAGAAAAATATCTATTTATGCTTTATTGACTATGCCAAAGCCTTTGACTGTGTAGATCACAATAAACTGTGGAAAATTCTTCAAGAGATGGGAATACCAGACCACCTGACCTGCCTCTTGAGAAAAGGGAATCCTCTTACATTACTGGTAGGAATGCAAATTGATACAGCCACTATGGAAAACAGAAGGGGAGGTTCCTTAAAAAACTAAAAACTACCATGCTGCCCCAGCAATTCCACTACAGGGCACATATCCAGACACCACCATAATTCAAAAAGATACATGCACCCCAATATTCACTTCAGCACAATTTACAACAGTTAGGACATGGAAGCAACCTAAATGTCCATCAACAGAGGAATGGATAAAGAGATGTAGTGTATATATACTATAGAATATTAGTCAGCCATAAAAAAGAATGAAATTGGGTCATTTGTAGAGATGTGGATAGACCTAGAGACTGTCATACTAGTGAAGTAATTCAGTAAGAGAAAAACAATTGTATATTACTGAATATATGTGGAATCTAGAAAAATGATATAAATGATCTTATTTGCAAAACAGAAGTAGAGACAGAAATGCAGAGAACAAAAAAATAAACACCAAGATAGCAAAGTGGGGGGCTGTATGAAGTAAGAAATTGGGATTGACAGTTCAGTTCAGTTCAGTCACTCAGATGTGTCTGACTCTTTGCGAACCCATGGACTGAATCACGCCAGGCCTCCCTGTCCATCACCAACTCCTGGAGTTTACTCAAACTCATGTCCATTGAGTTGGTGATGCCATCCAACCATCTCATCCTCTGTCATCCCCTTCTCCTGCCTTCAATCTTTCTCAGCATCAGGGTCTTTTCAAATGAGTCAGTTCTTTGCATCAGGTGATCAAAGTATTGGAGTTTCAGCTTCAGCATCAGTCCTTCCAATGAATATTCAGGACTGATTTCCTTTAGGATGGACTGGTTGGATCTCCTGGCTGTCCAAGGGACTCTCAAGAGTCTTCTCCAACACCACAGTTCAAAAGCATCAATTCTTCGGCACTCAGTTTTCTTTAAGGTCCAACTCTCACATCCATACATGACTACTGGAAAAACCATAGCCTTGACTAGACGGACCTTTGTTGGCAGAGTAATGTCTCTGCTTTTTAATATTCTGTCTAGCTTGGTCATAACTTTTCTTCCAAGGAGCAAGCATCTTTTACTTTCATGGCTGCAATCACCATCCTCAGTGATTTTGGAGCCCCCCAAAATAAAGTCTGTCACTGTTTCCACTATTTCCCCATCTATTTGCCATGAAGTAATGGGACCAGACACCATGATCTTAGTTTTCTGAATGCTGAGTTTTAAGCCAACTTTTTCACTCTCTTCTTTCACTTTCATCAAGAGGCTCTTTAGTTCTTCTTCACTTTCTGCCATAAGGGTGGTATCATCTGCATATCTGAGGTTATTGATATTTCTCCCAGCAATCTTGATTCCAGCTTATGCTTCATCCAGCTCAGCATTTCTCAAGATGTACTCTGCATAAGTTAAATAAGCAGGGTGACAATATCCAACCTTGATGTACTCCTTTCCCTATTTGGAGCCAGTGTGTTGGTCCATGTCCAGTTCAAATTGTTGCTTCCTGACCTGCATACAGATTTCTCAGAAGGCAGGTAACATGGTCTGGTATTCCCATTTCTTTAAGAAGTTTCCAGAGTTTGTTGTGGCCCACACGGTCAAAGGCTTTGGCATAGTCAATAAAGCAGAAGTAGATGTTTTCCTATAACTCCTTTGCTTTTTCGATGATCTAACTCGGGATTGACGGTTATACACTATTGATACTATGTATACATTAGATGAGTAATGAGACCCTATTGTATAGTTCAGAGAACCCTACTCAGTGCTCTATGGTGACCTAAATGGGAAGGAAATACAAAAACGAGGGGATATCTGTATATGTATAGCTGATTCACTTTGCAGTACAGTAGAAACTAACACAATACTTTAAAACAAACAAATACTTTAAAACAACTATACTTCAGTAAAAACTAATTTAAAAAATAATGGACAAAACAGACTTCAGAGCGAAGACTTAGTGACAGAAGGTTATTTCATGATGATAAAGGAATCAATTTATTATGATGACATAACAATCCTAAATGTTTATTCATCTAATACCAGAAGGAAAAACTGATAGAACTGCAAGGAGAAATGAACAAATCCATAATTATAGTCAAAGATTTCACTGAAGGCTCTCAAATAATTGACAGGACAGGTAGACAGAGAATCAACAAGGATATTTAACACTATTAATCTATTTGACCTGATTGACATTTATAGAACACTTGACCTTACATCAGCAAAATACACATTCAGGTACACAGGGAACATTTACCAAGAAAGACAATACTCTAGTTCATACAACAAGCCTCAACATATTTAAAAGGATTCATACAAACTTATGATCATAGACTGAAACAGAATTAATAAAAAA